ACAGCACACAGCACACAGCACACAGCACAGTCGGCAATCGACTTAACACCTCTGATTTTTTTCTGGTCATTTTCGCATCCCTCATTTTTTGCTTCCTTTTTTTGTGTTTTATTTTCGAGCTGCAGGGTTTCAGAGTTTTAGGGTCAAAGGCGGCATTCGCACGGCCCTCCTCGTCGTGCGTTGCCGTCATCACCACCACCACTTCGCCAGGCCATGCCTCTGGCTTGAACATCCGGTCAGAAGCAGCTGCATCGCACGCAACGCTCAATAACGAGCCGGCAACCATGCTCTCCTCATCCGCTTGAACCCGTCCAGGCACATCGCTTCACCACTCCACAATGGCGTCCAACAATCCTAGCGACGAGGTGCATCGCATTCAGAACCAGATCGACATCGAAACAAAGATCAAGGATGGCGCAGAGAACCTGCTCAGCGTCTTCGACCTCAAGCTCGCCACAAACACAAAGCACGACCTCCGCAGGCAGATCGAATCCGAGCTCGATTCCGCCAACGCCAACATCGCCTCGCTCACCTCCGAGCTGCAACGATGGCGTCAGATCCACGCCGACACCCAGTCGCCCCACCTCTCAAACTACGCAAATTACGCATCGGACGCCATCAGCGGCCCTCCCGTCTCCGCCTCGTCCGCCACCGCCAGCTGGCAAATACCCCACTCCACCGTATCCCGCCTCGAGCAGTCGGCTCTCGGTTACGACGGTCAGCCCCTCTTCGCCGACCGCCATGCTCCACCCTCGGCTCCACCCTCGGCTTCGCCAGCAGCCGTCCACGACGACACCGACGACATCCTAACCACCAGCAGCCACCACCACCACCACCTCGATACAAGCAACGGCTCTCCACCTTCCACCAACTATGTCAACCACCTAGCCTCGGCTGTCGATGCCAACGCGCAACCATTCGGAGGCCTTGGAATCGGCCTCGATGCCCATGCCCCCCTCGCGCTCTCCAATGCAGCTAACGCCCAGCCATCGCTCGACCCGCACGCCAATCCACCTCCGCTCCTATTCCACCAGCCCTCCGCCCAACCGAACCATCACGCTTCCACCTCCAAGCTGCCCTACAACCATCAGCGCGAGATCGAAGATGCGCGGGCTTCCAGGTCGCTCGCGCTCATGCTCATCCGCTCCTTGCGCCCTTCCTCACCCATGCCTCCGCCGACACAGCTCCCCACCCTCACAGAGCAGCAGCAGCAGCAGCATCAGCATCCATCCCACGCAAACGCTGCCGCCGACCCTCTGCCCGCACCCACCACCGATCCCGACTCGCCGCTCAACAGTGCCCTCGCGCTGCCCCGCATGGCTCGCAGGACCGCCGCTCGTTCCCGCGCCGCCGCCATCGCCTCGGGCGCTTCCTCGCATGCGCGCACCCCCAGCAACGCAGCCGGCCTCGGCGACCAGGCCAAGCATCACATCACCCAGATCAACCGCCTCGTCGACATCCTCAAGCGCCACGCACGCGTGCGCTACGAGTTGCCGCTCGACGACCTCCTAGACGCCGCCATGCCCAACCTGTGCGACAGGGCGGGCAAGGAGATCCGCGCCGCCACCTACCGTCTCCTCCGCTACGCCCTCGTCCAGCCGCTCTGGCCGCTCGTCTCGCGCTGCCGCCAAAAGGGCCTCGACATCTACCTCTCCCGCAGCCTCATCCGCGACAACCGCTTCGAGCTCGAAAAGATCCAGGCCATCAAACTCATCCGCGCCATCATGGACATGGCCGCCCTCCGCTCCATCGCCGCTTCGCCCGACCGTCTCGCCATCGGCCTCCAGGACCTCTTGGCCACCGGCGTCATCCGCGCCCTCGCCGCCGTCGCTGACCACCCCGACGACAAGCTCCGCCACATCTGCCTCGAGACGCTCGCCGAGCTCGCCGTGTTTGACATCCGTCTGCTCATCAAGGCGGGCGGCCTCCGCTCCACGCTGCAGGCGCTCACCGAAGGCGCCTCCGACTTTTCGCCCGCGCTCGTCCAGGTCTTCATCTACCTCATCGACATGCCCGGCACACGTCACCACCTGCGTCCCGGAGTGGACCTCGAGATCGCGCTGTCCGGCTTCACCGAGGCTCCCGTCCAGAAACCCATCACCTACGACGCGCTTTTGCGCAGCACCGCTTCGGTCGTCGCCGTGCTCCTGCGCTCCTGGGCCGGCCTCATCTACCTCTGCATGGACGACAAGCGCTCCATCAAGTCGCTCGTACAGGCTCTCCGCGTCAATGCAGTCGAGGTCAAGAGCGTCCTGCTCGACATGCTCTACGACCTCTTCAACGTCCGAGGCGCCACCGGCCGCGTCGACCCTGCCAGCAAGCGCGAGAGCAGCCAAAAGGCCGCCTCGTCGTCGCCCAAGCCGGATGCCGACGCCTCGGGCGCGGCGCAGCACGCCAACATGGCTCCGCTCGGCGAGCTCGGAGACCAGCCACGCAGCCGGCTCAACCTTGTCGACCACTATCTGGCGCTGCTGCTCGTCGTCTTTCTCGAGTGCGGACTCGTCGATGCGCTTATCGATGTGATCGAGCATGCGCCGGTGATGGCGCGTAAAGCGACCATGCTGATGGGTGAATTGCTGCAAGTCTCCAAGCGAGTCCATCCTCCGTCCATGGGCGGCAGCATCCACTCGTTGCCGCGCCTCTTTTCGCTCGCTGCCGACTTTCGGCTGGACAAGAGCGACGAGCGTCAGGCGGCGGCGCAGGCGCTCTCGACCATTGACAGCGCCAATCGGCACCGCGCGCACCACGAGGCGGTCACCAGCGCGGCGTCGTTGAGCGGCACGGTGCAGAGCACGGCGCGCGACCGGTCCAACTCGATCGAAGAGTCGATGCGGCGCGGGCAGAGGCAGGTGGAGAAGACCAAGATGCGCATCGGCATGCAGATCGACGACGTGCAGTTTCGGAACATGATGGTCGACACACAGGTGCTCGTCACCAAGGACCACACCAAGTGGAACCTGGACACGCTCACCGACATGCTCGAGGGCCCGCTGCTCAATCCCAAGCGGCTCGAAGACGTGGTGAGGGGCACCAAGCTGCTCAAGCGCCTGCTGGCGTTTTACCATCCGTTTGCACTGCGCTTCTCGAGCATCCGCAAGCTCAATGCGAATCGGCGCTTTGTGCGTCTCGGATGCCTGCTGCTCAGTACGCTCGCGGCCACGCCAGAGGGGCTGCGCGTGCTGGCGGAAGATCGGCTGCTGCGCGAGCTGAGGGAATGCCTCGATCAGCTCGATCCGCTGTCCGGCCAGTCGGGCACCGATCCGCTCTTGTCGCGCAAGCGCATGACCGAGACGCTCGCGTCGGGATACTTTGAGATGATCGGCGTGCTGACACAGAGCACCGAGGGCATCAAGCTGCTGGAGCGCTGCCGCATCTTTACGCCGCTGTACCATCTGAGCGAGCTGCGCAGCCGGGACGACATCGTCAAGGCGGTGATCGAAAACGTAGACTACACCATCGACGGCCACTCGCGCATCGTGCTCGCCAAGGCGCTCACCTCGAGCTACCGCGACGTGCGGCTGTTTGCAACGCGCCACCTGGCCGAGCTGATTCGGCAACAGACCTTGCCTGCCAACGCCAAGAAGGGCGCAGACGTGCAGGGCGACTGGACGATCGCACTGCTGCTCACGCAGCTCTACGATCCGTCGGTCGAGGTGCGTCAGCTGGCAACGCGCGTGGTGCAGGAAGCTTGCACCTCGAGCCACATCCTCGAAACGGTGGTGTCCATGCGGCCGACGCTAGACCACCTGGGCGAACTGGGCCATCCGCTGCTGCTCAAGTTCCTCTCGACCTCCGTCGGCATCCGCTACCTGTGGCACGGCGAGTACATCGACCGCGAGATGGACGAGTGGTTCAACGAGCGCAATCAGCGCTACGTGGTCGAGGTCGAAGTGATGCTCGCCGAGTTTTTCAGTGTGGATCGCAAGTCCTCCGCTGGCGGCGCGGCGGATAAGGCGGCCGCCGAGTCAGCCTGGGCTACTGCGCCGGCGACGTGGGGCGTGGAGCCGATGCAGGAAGGAGTGGTGCCGGCGCACTTTTACGGCGAGCTGACCAAGACGCGCGAGGGCTGCCACATCCTGTCGCAAAAGGGCCACTTTGGCGAATTTGCACACCTGATCCGGCAGCACGGCTGCGAGGCGTCGGACAGCGAGCTGATCAGCAAGCTCAAGAGCGTGCTGTGGGCGGTGGGCAGCATCGGGGCGAACGAGCTCGGACTGCCGTTCCTCGAGGCCGAGGATGTGGTGAGCCAGATTGTGGAGATTGCGGAAACGTCGGCGGTGCTGTCGGTGCGCGGGACGTGCTTCTTTGTGCTGGGGCTGATCTCGTCGACCAATGCGGGCGCCGAGGTGTTGCAGGATTACGGTTGGCAGTCGGTGTGCACTCCGCTGGGCGCGCCCATGGGACTGTGCATCCCGGACAATGTGGATCGACTCGTGTCGTTGGCGCCATGGCGCGTGGAGCAGGTGGCGGATCTGGCGTATCTTGACTTTGACGAGCCGCAGACGGTGGTGGAGAACAAGATCATCACGTCGATTGCGAATCTGGGCAACTCGATCTTGGCGGCCAATGCGTCGCGCTCGCTGAGCAGGCTCAAGGCCAAGCATGCGCGTGCGTTCCAGGACATGGCGGTGCTCGCGCGCGCGGTGGAGCTGATGGACCACTTTCACTTTCGCGTGGCGGTGCGCAGGTACGTGTGGGAGCTCTTCGACGTGAGTCTGGACGAGCAGGTGGTGCATGCGATCCAGACCAGTCGGCACCAGCTCGTCGAGGCCAAACGCGCACGCACCACGCAGCAGTCGCAGCAAGACCGACGCAGTAGTCGAGCCGAGCCTTTGGATGGACATCACGGCGAGGCTCACCGAGAGACTCACGGCGAGGCGGATGGCTGGGACAGCGGGTCGGGCTCGAACGGTGCCGGCGAGAGCGACGAGGCGGAAGACGAGGTGGGGCTGTCGAGCAACATGTCTTCGGACGACGAGGCGAGCGACACCTCGCAGGACGAAGCCAAGCTTGCCGACAATACCTCGTCGCGTCCACTTGCTCGTGCGGGGGCTAGGAGACCAAGCATGCGCTCATCCACACTCAAAGGCCACTGGACACGCACCGAGCTTGCGCCTGCCAAAGTGGTGGCAACGCCGGTGAAAAAGGTGCTCGGCTTTGGAGTGGAATCGGTGTAAACGACGAAAAAGAATCATCTGCATTGCACGCATCTAGGCTGACGAGTGGGGTTTGTCCTTGCCAAAGGCGCCGGCGATGCTGTCGATGCCTCGCTTGAGTTCGTCGGCGCCGTTCTGGGTGACGTCGCGCTGCGAGTGGTTGCCGGCGTAGTCGGCGCTCTTGCCGTCGGTGGGTGCGTCGCGCGCAGTGTGCGTGTCGCTGCTACCCTGACGAAGCCCTTCGCCGGCAGAGTCGAGCGTCTGGTTGATCGTTCCCCGGATCGTCTCGCCCGCACCATGCCCGGCGTTGAGAACGCTGGAGCACCCCCCCCAAAGAACACCAGAGTCAGCTTCAAAGTAGCACCAATGGGGAAAATGACAAAGAGTCGAGAATGGATCAAGACGTACCCTTTGATGGTGTCGCCGATCTTGTTGCCCGTGTTGCCTGTGTTGCCTGTGTTGCTCATCTTGGAGTAGGGGTGGTGGAGGATGGTGGTGCAAGTGCAACAAGGATGGTGGCAGCCAGCTCTTTTGGGAGCTTAGCACAGCATGGCCCCGAGCGTGAAAGGACCCTGGCACGAGTCGCCAACGACGTCATCCCGCTGCTCACCCACTCTAACACCAACACTCGTCGCCCCAAGGTTTCAAGGCAACGCGTCGCGTAGATGAGACCAAGAGCCGCTTGCGAGTCTCGAATGTGACACTTTGCGCCCCACCTTCATCGTAGCAACTACACCACATCTCTGCCTCCCTCTCTCTCTCTTTCTCGACTGCAGCTGGGACGGACAACGCCACACATGGTGCCATGAGACAGGCTACGCTGCCATGGGCGCCTCCCACCCCCGCCCCACCGCCATTCCATCGGCATGCGACACACGATACGCCAGTGCAGCAACAAGCTGCGTATACGGTACCAAACGAGGAGCAGATCGATCCGGCGCTGCTGGACGCCGATACGGTCATAGACGTGTCCACACCAACACCACCGCCTACACAGCCCGAGGTAGCAACCCGGCAGGCGCAGGATATGGCTGCCTGCACCGATGCGCCAGCCGACGCGCGACCACTGCATCCGTTCTTCACTGCACCGACGCCGGCTATGGATGACGAGGAGGAAGGCGATGGAAGGCGCACGCGATCGAGCAGGGCAAAGGCACCCGTGTCGTACCGCGAAGACCTCAAGGCGGTGCTGCGTGCCGACGCTGCGCACGAAGCCGCGCGGCTCAAAGACGAAAAGCGCCAGGCTGCCCACCAGGCGCAGGCGGAAAGGCGAAGCAGACCGGCCAAGACCAAGCCAAAGGCGGCGGACTTTGAGATCGTAGAGACCCGAGTCGCGCCTGCGCCCGCAAGCAAGAGGGTGGAACAGCCAAAGCCGCTCAGTCTGGCGGTCAAGGGCACCAGCTCAGAAGCCGCCACCGCCCACCCGTTCTTTGCAAAGAAGGCCAAGCCGGCACCAACCACGCCGTCGAAGGGTGGAGCCGAGGATGGTGGTGAGGCAAGCAGTGGTTCGAAACATACGGCAGGGGCACCGGCAGCGTGGAGCTTGTTTTCAGCCCCACGACAGCCAGCGAGGCGGCCGACGAAGCCAGCGCACGCGCCATGGCCCTCGCAGCACGATACGCACCTCGTCGGATGGCGCGAGAAGGAACGCCAGGTCATCGACAAGGCGCGTATAGGACTCGAAGCGTTTCGCGAGCAGTACAGCTCTCGCACCCCACATACGCCGGTCGCCTCGACATGGCACACTGCGCCCGACTTTGTTCGAAGCCTCAACAACCATCGTCCGCGGCCCGCGCCTGAAGGCATGTCGCTCACGGGCGATCTGGACGCGTTTGACAGTGTCGACGACTACACGGCGCAGCACGTCGACATGTCGCGGCTCACACTCCCAACGCGCGCGGTGGAGCCAGCCGAGGGCCAGCTGTGGTGCGACGCATGGCGGCCGCGTGCGGCAGCCGAGTGTGTGGGCAACGAGGCGCACGCGGCGTTGCTGCTCGAGTGGCTGCGCCGCCTGCTCGTCGCCACCCCCGGCGCGGTTACCGCCGCGGCCAAGAGGAAGCAGGTGCAGAGACGCGTAGACAGGTCCAAACGCCGCCGTGCGCGCAGTGCGAGCGACGACGAGTGGGATGATTTCATAGTCGACGACGACGAGCAAGAAGCCGAAGCGCCACCGGAGCTGGACGACGAGCAGTGCTTCGGCCGATTCGGCAGGATCCAAACAGCCCTGGCGGAACCGAACGCGGTTGGGGATTCACCAGCTCCATCGGCGCCCGGATGGGAGCCGCTCGAGCAGCTCACCAACTGCATGGTCCTTGCCGGGCCCAGTGGATCGGGCAAGACGGCGTGCGTATACGCCTGCGCGGCGCAACTCGGGTACGAGGTGTTTGAGCTCTACCCGGGCATGGGCAAGCGGAGCGGGCGCGAGATGCTGGCGTGCGTCGGCGACCTTGCGCGCAACCACATGGTCTCCTCGGGCGGCATCGGCGGCGGCGCCAGCTTCAAACCCACCGCGGCGACGAGCGTGCGCCAGTCGCTCATCCTCATCGAAGAGGCCGACGTGCTGTTTGACGAGGACAAGGGATTCTGGAGCGCAGTGGTGGAGCTGGTGGGCCAAAGCAAGCGCCCCGTCGTGGTGGTGTGCAACGAGCCGGATCTGGTGCCCCTGCATGATCTGCCGGTGCAAGAGGTGCTAGAGTTTCAAAAACCCGCTGCCGCCATAGTCGCGCCGTGGTTGCAGACCGTTGCCGCAAGCGCAGGCAGGTGGCTGAGCGCAGATGCGGTGCAGAGGTGGTTGGGGCAGGGAGAAGTGGATGTGCGACAGGCGCTCATGCAGCTTCAGTTCGGACTCGGTGTACCACCAAAGCAGACAGTCGTGGATACGGTAAAGGGGATGGTGGAGGAGGGTGCGGATGTTAGGGCAGTGGCCAAGGCGGCGGAAAGCAGCAGTTGGGCCGATGTGGTCGAGGGCAGTGCTGGAATAGAGGAGTGGGGAGATGTAGGTGTGGAACTCCATCCCACCAGACAGTGGGGCAGCTGGACTCAGCTCGTACCGCAACCGCACGGCAGTGTGCGTCTGCGCCACAGCGGCGCAGACGACTACTGCGCCGCCCTAGACCAGATCCACGGTGCCAAGAGTGCTGCGACGGTGCGAATCCCGGTGGAGGAGCGGGAGGTGGACTCGACGGTGAATCGGCTGTGGACCATGGTCCGGCCGGTTCTGTCGCGCTCGGCGGTGCAGAACGACACGGCGATCCTACTGGACTATGCGCCCATGGTGCGGCTCATGGCGATCGTCGACGACGACCTGGCGGCGATCCATCGTGACCTACACGCTGCCGCCGCTCCACTCGAACCGGCGCCAGCACGCGGGAGAAGCACGCGCAACTCGGCACGACTCACATCCTGGCTCGCAAGCGACGACTACGAACGGTGGCTGCTGCTCGGCCCGCAAGAGGTGCAAATCGCAAAGCAGACCGCACTGTCATTCGAGCCAGTACAGTGAACCGCCAAACAGCGCCGGCGTGGTGAGTGGAAAGAGGAAGCGTGCGAAGAGCGCCACGCCCACAGCGTGTGCTGTCCATATGACTAGCCAATCGCACAATGACGCCAAAGATTCAGTAAAGGCTGTACAAAGACGGGCTGCGGCAAGTGGCACTTACGTGTGGACTTTGTCGGGTGCCTTTGCGCATCGGCGGCGGGGTTGGGCAGACCCAGCACGTTGCACAGCACATGCGCGGCGGTGGGGGCCACGACGCTGCCAGCGCGGAGGAAGAGCAAGTTGGCATACCATCCGAAGGCGGTGGTGTAGAGGAACTGGGCGGCAGCGGTGAGAGCGCCGCGTATGGCAGCGCTGCGCGTGCGTCCATCAGAGAGATAGACGTTGTAGGCATGGTGCACGTGTGCAATCCCAAAGAACGCCGGCGTTGCCAGCACCAACTTGGCGCGCGACACGCCGGCGAAGAAGAGGGGTGCGAGGAGCGACGCGCGAAACACGAGCTCCTCGGTGGCGGGACCGACGAGGAAGTTGCGCACGCCGGCGAGCGAGGTGAACTTGACCACGAGGTCCGTGTGCAAGTCAAAGTGGCGCTGAAAGGGTAGCTCGCCATCGAGGAAGCGGGTGAGCAGTGGGCCGAGGTAGAGAAGCGAGGTGAGCAGCAGAGGTGCAGCCATGTGAACGCTCAGTGAGCCAATGTAGCTGAGCAGTGGAGGTGCGAACGGCAGAGTGTTGGAGGTGAGCAGCGTCGGAACGGGGAGCGCAAGACCGAGCAGGCGGCCGATGTTGAGCGTGTCGAGCAACCAGCCCTGCGAGTCGAGGAGCATGGTGTCAGCGGTAATGCTCTCGTGGAAAAGGCGGCCGAAACTTACGCTGGGTGGGATGGCACGTTTGAGCAGCGCACCTGCGCAGACGAGGGAGAGCGCGGTGGCGGCCGAAGCGGTTCTGATGCGCGAGCGGATCACGACGGGATGGTCGCGGTCGAGCGGCACACCGTCGGCATCAACACCACCGTTGAGCCTACCCGCGGGCGAGAGGTAGAGCGAGCCGACGTAGGAAACGGTAAACCACGCCGCCGAAGCCACCGCCAGCCCCAACCCGAGCACGGGAGGAGCCAAGGGTGCAGGAAGGTGAGTGAGCATCGACATGGTGGCGTGAAGCCAAGCGCCAAAGGCCGCGCGAGCCAACCATAAGAGAGCAAGGCGGGGTCCTGAGAAGAACAAAGGGAAGTGGGGGGAACCAGTGGACCCTGAATTGCTTGGCCGCAACTTGGGCGCGTCGAGGCTGAGCGGCTTGACGAGCGCCAACCATCATCGCGGCATGTCGGCCAACTACTGGGCGTCGACTCAATGTAACAACTGGCTGATCGATAGGGCGCAGCTCGAGCTTGCGCGCCACGAGGACCGCGAGTATGCCAGCGAGACAGAGTGTGCCGCCATCGGCATCTTTTTCGCCAATCGTAAGTTCCCCAAAGGATGCTGCGATGCTGCGGGCGGGGCTAGTACTGACTGCTTCGCTCTGCTTCGCTCTGCTTCGCTCTGCTTCTCTCTGCACTCGCTCGGCAGTCATTTCGATCGTCTGCAAACGGCTCAACCTGCGCCAGCGCGTGGTGGCGAGCGCATGCGTCTTGTTCTCGCGCTTCTTCTGCAAGAACAGCTACAGCGCGGTGGAGCCGTTCCTGGTGTGCGCGACGTGCGTCTACGTGGCGGCCAAGGTGGAAGAATCGCCCATCCACATCAAGTCGGCCGTGGCCGAGGCGGCGCGCAGCTTCCAAGAGGTCGGCTTCCGCGCCATGCCGACCGACAACTCGAGTCTGGCCGAGATGGAGTTCTACCTGCTGGAAGAGATGGAGTTTGACATGATCCTCTTCCACCCCTACCGCTCGCTGCTCGCCATCTACGACGCACACGGATCCGACAGCAGCGACAGCAGCGCTACTAGCAGCGCTACAGCCGCCCTGGGCATCGAGGCCGAGGCGTTTGGCGTGCGCGGTCTGGAGAGCATCGAGACGAGGTCAGAGGCAAGGCTGGCCGAGCTGGACCAACACGTGCTCCAGATGAGCTGGCTCGTGCTCAACGATGCCTACAGGAGCAACCTGCCTTTGCTCTACCCGCCCTACATGCTCGCGCTCGCCGCCGTGTGGATCGCCCTCACGCTGCACACACCCGCCTACGAACGCATCAACGCGACGCTCGAATCCATGCAGCAGCATCGCAAACAACACCAGCAGGCCGCGCTGGAAGAGATCGTGCCTCCGAGCGGCGAGGCGCTCACCTTCTTTGCCAGCCTCAACGTGTCGCTCCCGCTGCTGGCCGAGGTGGTGCAGAGCCTGCTCGAGGCGTACCAGCGCCAATCGCAGGCGGCCAAACTCGTCGCCGACGGTCCGGGCATGGTCAAGCTGCTCGAACGCATGCGCCACGCACGCCGAACCGCACTGCTCACCACCAACGCACAGGGGCGCTAGCATTCAGTAGTAATACATTGGTCCCATCACCCGACGCTACGATTCCAGTCCTTCGGGAAGCCGTCCCACCACCTTGACCGCGTACAGCCCCGGCAGCCGTTTCTCTGTGCAATACGCAAGCGAGCAAGCGATACGCAAGCGAGAAGGATGAGCAAAGTGTGGGTGGATAAGCATGGATTGTGTGTGTGGGGAGGGGAAACTCACCGATTCGCTGCCACTTGGCCACCCAGCTCTCGTCGGGTCGCAGCATGGAGATCATGCCGTCAAAGTTGGACGTGGTGCATTCGGCCACTCGGTCCTGACTGCCCTGCATCTGTTGTCGGCAGAGAGTGAACAACAAAAACGTGGTTGAGTGGACGCCAGGGCCACATGGAGCAACGAGCATGGCCGCACTTACCTCGAGCACCGGTTCGCAGTTGGGGCAGCCCTTGAGATGGAAATCGCGCGGCGACTGGACAAACTGGCAGCGCAGGCACGCTCGCAGCTTCTCCTTTCGTGTGGCCATGGTTGTGGGTGATGCCAGATGGTGGTGGTGGTGGTGGTGGAGCGCCAGGTTGGGATGAGCCGCGCGGCAGATGGCTTCCTTCCTTTCGCCCGAATTCCGCACTTTGGGCGACCAAAAAAGGGCGCCAAAAAAGGGCGCCAAAAAAGCGCGCGTTGGGAAGTGCAGAATCGGCGCACATTCCACCTACCAATCCTTCCTTCCTTTCTTTCTTCCTTCCTCCCTTCCACCACTTTCTCTCAACAAACATGGACGGCTGGGACACTCCTGCTGACTACTCGCAACCCCCGCCGCCACCGCAGACAAACGCAGCGGCGGGTTGGGCCAACTCGCCCCGTCGTGGCGGCGGTCGTGGCGGCGGTCATCGTGGAGGAGGCGGAGGAGGTTACTACCACAACAACAACAACAACAATCATCATAACAACCAACAGCAATACCAGCAGCAGTCCGACGAACAGAGGAACGAGAACCGCATCCGCTACATCCGCTCCCACCTCTTCAAGCTCGGCGAGGACAAGGACTTCCATCCGCCCTCCGACCTGCTCAAGATGGCGCGCTGGATCCACGACAAGGCTCACGACGGCCTCGATCCCATCACCGCAGCCTTCAGAGTCATGGTCACCGAACAGCCCCACAAGATCCCCCTCATCGCCGCCCTCATCGGCTTCCTCTGCCTTCAGCCCAACGCCGATCCAGCACGAATCCGACAACATCCCGCCCAGCAAGCCCAGCATGGCGATGAGCATCTCGACGACCACAACGCCGCCGCCGACGAGCCCGCACCGTCGATCGGCTTGCTCATCGTCAACGACCTCATCAAGGCTTTCCGCTCCTACCTCGATGCCCGTCTCTGGCGGAACACGCGTCTGAGCCTGCATCTCTTCGCCGCGCTCGTGCCGCTCCACATCGTGCCCGCACACTCGCTCCGCGCCCTCCTCTCCGCCTTTGCCGCCGTGCTCGACGAACCCGCCGTGGCCGCCCCGCGTGCGGACCGTGCCGCCATGTGCATCATCCAGACCCTCTGCCGTGCCGGTCAGGATCTGCTCACCGATGGAGACCACGCCCGCGCCGAGCTCGACCAGCTCGTCCAGCGAGTCGTCGCCTACGACGCCGCGCGCAAGGTCGAGGTGCAGCTCACCCAGCCCGTGCACGACGTCGAGACCATCTGGCTCGATGGATTCCCGCACGCCGTGCAGGCGCTCGAAGAATTGCGCACGCGCGACTATGCACGCCCCGCCTTCCTCCCCGTGCCCGCCGACCTGCTGCCCGCCGCCATCTCGCCCAGCGCCACAGCCGTCCCCGAGGCGCACCGCAGCGTCCTCCTCCCCGACGTCCTCGTCCCGCCCGAAGAGGATGCAGAGGAACACAACCTCGACGTCGCATATGCCCAGCTCGGAGAGCAGCAGGTCAAGCGCCGCAAAGTCGACACGGGCAAGGGCGAGCTCGAGGAGAAAAAGGCAGCCGTCGGTCCCGAGCGCATCAGCCTCGAGCCGCGCTGGTTTGCCGCTACCGTGCCGGCGCTCGCATCGCCCGCCGCAGTGGTGCTGCGTGCAATCGTCGCCGATATGATGGACCTCTACGAAGTCAACCGCAAAGAGGCCGCGCGGCTGCTGCTCGATCTGCCCAACTGGCTGCGTCGCGGCACCTTTACGGGCAAAGTCTCGCCCGAAGCAGGCCTCTTTGGTGAACTCGACGACAAGCCTCAAGAGTCGGGTTGGTCCTTGGACGACCTGCTCGTCGAATCCATCCTCTCCACCGCGCTCGTCCTGCCGTCGCCACCGCGCAATCCGCTCTACTACACCGCACTGCTGCGCGAGATCGTCGCGCTCACGCCCGGTTCCGTCGCGCCCTCGCTCGGCCGCACCATCCGCACCTTTTACAACGCGCTCGCCGAACCCAAAATGGACCTAGAGGCCGTGCAGCGCTTTGCCGACTGGTTCGCCATCCACCTCAGCAACTTCAACTTTGGCTGGGCATGGAAGGAGTGGATCGCCGACACGGCGCTCGAATCCAACAGCGCCAAGGTCGTCTTTATCAGGCGCATCGTAGAGCTCGAGGTGAGGCTCGCCTACTACGACCGCATCAAGCAGACGCTGCCCGCCGAGATTGCGCAGCTCGCCATGGCCGACGAAGAGCCGGGCGCCGTGTTTACCTATGCCGGCCCAGAACATCCCTACCATGCGGCGGCCACCGCGCTGCTCAGCTCCATCCGCGCCAAGGCCTCCGCCGACGTCATCCTCGCCGACTTTGAATCCTTCAAGGCGAGCATCATCTCGCAGCTGCCCCAAGACGGTATGGTGGGCAGCATGGACGAGGCCGAGGTGGTGGTGCGCGACTTGGTTGTCCAGTGCGTGCTCCAGGTCGGATCGCGCTCCTTTTCGCACCTGCTCAACATTGTCGAGCGCTACCACGGCCTGCTGCGAACGCTGTCGCGAAGTGCGAGGATGCGTGCAGCCATGCTTGCTGCAGCCGTGCGCTTCTGGATCCGATCGCCGCAATGGCTACACATTGTCGTCGACAAACTGCTGCAGTACCGCATTGTGGAACCGGCGGATGTGGTCGAGTTCATCTTTAATCCGCCGCGCGACGAGCCGGCCTCCATCCTCACGGCGGGGGTGAGCGAAGTGGGCAGCTGGGCGGGATTCAACACGTGGGGCTTGCTCAAACTCACGCTCGACAAGGTCAACGGACGTGTAGACCAGCTGCGTCGCAGACTTGAGCAGAGTCAGCGCCTCGAGGCCGAGGAACTCGAGCGACAGGAAGCCGCCGCCGCCGCCGGATTCGAACAGGAGGAATCCAAGGCTGAGCCCGGCATGCCGCTCTTCCCCACCACTGCTACACTGCCCGTAAGGCCAGAGGAGAAAGCGCCATCGGCCGACGACGCGCGCGCCAGCCTCGACGCCATCCGCACCGAACAGCGCAAGGTGCTCCTCACCGTCGTGCAAGGCTTCCTGGCTCTCAAAGCAGAAGGCTGGAACAAGTGGTGGGTGGACGGTTGGTACACCGCTTTCGTAAGGACTTTCAACAGGCAGCTGCTCGACAACAAGCAGACCGTCTTGGCAATCTGCTTCCAAGACGGCCACGACGAAAAGAAGGACATCCTCCTCAGAGCCATCGATATGCTCGCCGAGTAGTCCCACTTGACCACCCAAAACCACCACACGTCCGCAATGAGAAAATCTCACGTCTTGCTCATGCAACCTCTCCGCTTTGTCGCGCCTCTTGTGTGTGGGTGTGTCTGTGTGTGAGTGTGTCTGTGGGTGAGTGTGTGTGTGTGTTTCTGATCACCTCCGCTAGTCTTGTTCGCCCACTCATCAGACGTCGCATCAAGATCGGGCCGTCTGCTTTGCCTTCTTGCGTGGATTTGAGAAAGGTTTGGCATTGTGCATGTGCATTACGGCTAGTAGGCGAGATCCACATCGCCCTCGGCAGCACCATCGAGGTCCTGGTACGACTTGGGCGCAGCACGCTGTGCACGTGGATCGAGCGGCTTGGGTGCCGGGGGCAGAGGTTCGGCCTTGATCGGGGTTCCGACATCGGGGGTCACCACTCCGCCCAGTCGCATGCCCAGTGCGGGCGCTCCGGCGCCTGGCTGGCGACGCGGCGAATCGGCCGCACTGGCGTTGCCAAATCGGATCATACCCATGCGTCCACCGCTGCTGTACATGCCGTTGGACGAGTCGATACGCTGCGCCAACGGCGCACCGTCGCCGCGCGCAACCCCGAGCTGCGTAGTGGCGCGGCACGGATCGCGAACGTAGTTGTTGAAAAAGTGCACCTCTTCGAGCGTCGTCTGCGCCTGCGCCTCGATAAACGCACGGTGCTTGTTGAGAATGTGCTTCTGCACAAAGATGGCCGCCTTGAACAGCTTGCCACACTGCCCCGCCCCGGCATCAACCGTGCATCGATGCTTCTCCTTGTCCTCCTCCTTGACGTACGCCAATGCAGCAGCCATGAGCTCCGCATCCACGCTCTTGCCCCCCGCCTCGGTCAGGTCCGTGCGCTCATCGGCGAGCAGCAGCAACGTCTTTTGATCCACACTGCGTGCCCACGATTCGTCGTTGGTCCCCTCGCGCGCTTCCTCGACCAGCTGGCCCGAGGGCGGCTGCTTGCGCGCATGCCGCGGACTGCGTCGCAGAAGCTCCTCCTCGAACTCGCAGCAGAGCGAGATGTAGTAGTCGCAAAAGTACACGGTGCGCAGCAGGTCGAGATGCAGATCGAGCTGACGCTTGAGGAGGCGCCGACGCTCTTCGCGCTTGGTGGCGTCTTCGTCGGCGTCGTAGCCGCGCTCGAGGTCGTCGTCCACCAGCTCCGGATCGGTGTGCTTGATGCGCTCCAGGATGGCGTCCGAAGCGTTGGTCTCGAGCCACGAGGCAGCGCTTGCGTCCGACTCGAGCAAGTCGCGGAAGAGCACCTGGCGGTCCTCGGACTCGAAGCGCTCGACGAGCTGCCTGCACTGCCTCAGGTCGGTGAGCAGGCGGTGGAAGGAGTTTGCGTATTCGGGCACGGTGCGCAGCTTGCTCGAGGTGGGCTTGGAGCACGGTGCGAGGTTGAGCGCAAAGCCGTCGACGTCCTTGCCCTGGAGCGCGTTGAGCGTGTCGTCCATGTCGATGTCGGGCTCGTACATGGCCCAGCCGACGCGATGCCATCGCTTGCCGACGTGCGGCTCGCCGAGTGCAAGGTACCGGAAGCCGGGCTTGGTGCGCAGCACCTCCTCGAGCTTCTCGCGCGGAACGTCGGCCGGATAAGTCTTTACGAGGATCTGGTGGGAGCAGGCGGGGATGATGGCCTGCTCTGCATGCAGCGTTTCGGGCTCTCCGTGGCGCGAGAGCAGCGTGACGTCGGAAGGTTCGGCACGACCGCGGGAATCGTGATGGTCGCCGCCGTCGTACGAGTCGTCGCGGCGCGAAGCCGAGTCGTCGTCGGTGCCGATGATGTCGTAGTTGAGCTTGTCGAGCTTGCCCTGTTGGAGCTCGTTGAGCCAGGCCTGCTTCTTGCCGGTACGTGCAGCCTTCTTGCGCTCGATGCGTGCGCTGAGCCAGGGGTCGAGGGGCGAGTACTTCTCCATGAACCAAGCTTCGTGCTTGCGCTGCTGGAAGAAGGTTGCGATGGCCTTTTTGTTGAAGGCGGCCTTGTAGGACTGGTAGCCGTCGTAGATCTCCTGGGTGTTGGGCTGGTCGATGGATCTGTCGCGTGCGGATGGATGCGCGGCACGGATCATCTGTGCGTACTGGCGGAAGGGGAGCAGCGTGTCGGACTGCATGGGATCGGGTGCGTTGGAGGCGAGGTCCGAGTGGGGAGCGTGGTCGTCTCTGCGGTGGTGTGCATCGTAGGAGGGATAGTTGCGTTCTCGCTCGCGGATGCGCGGACGGTCGTCCCTGTCTGCGGATGTGGCGGGTGGGGCATCGTCGTATCTGGATCTGGCCTCGTAGCGCTCGCGATCGTCGTAGGTGGGGCGGTGGTCGTGGTCTCTGTGATCCCTCTCGCGGTAGTAGCGATCCCACTCTGCGGCGCGCGAGCGATCTGCACGGTCGTCGTAGGGATCTGCGGAGCGGTAGTGGTCGTAGGCGGCGGCGGCGGCGGCAGAGGGGCGCGGTGCGTAGGGCTCGGGATCACGGTAGTCGCGCGAGTCGCGTGTACGGTCCCAGGGGTCTGCGGAGGGATGGTAGTCGTTGTAGGCGCTGGCGCGTCTGTCGTCGCGATAGTAGGGCGGAGAGGGCGAGCGGCCTCGCTTTCTGGAGCGATCGTACGAGTCGTCTAGGTTGTGCTTGTATTCGTCTGCGGGTGGTGCGTGGTGGTTGTCTGTAGCCGACGCGGGTGCGGAGCGGTCATACTGACGGTAGGAGGACCTGTAGTCCATGCCGATTCGAAGGGTGGGGGTGGATGGTGAGTGCAAGGCAGATGGTGAATCGATGGCGATGGAGGATGTGATGTTGTTGATGAAAGTGTCGGGACGAGGGCGATGAGGATGATGATGATGATGATGATGCGGATGCGGATGCGGATGAGGTGGTGGTCGAGAGTCGAGAGTCGAGGTGGGCATTTGCGCTTCCAATCCTTCCAAAAGGCGATCTCTCTCGCCTCGCCTCGCCTCGCCTCGCCTCTCTCCTTCTGCCTCCTCGGCCTTGAGCAGAGAGTCGCGTGTGCGGATGCAAGCAAGATCGGGTTGAGGGCGTGATCGCGACTCCATCGGCGCCCATCTGATCAAATTGAGATTTTAGTACCCCGATTCACGCCGATGCCCGATTGGCGCGACCAGGACCGAGGCGGAGAGGCGGAGAGGCGGAGAGGCGGCAAACGAGGCTCAACGCTCACATGGCAAACGCGCATCGATTGGCAGTGCGTCCTTCGTGCTTGCGGCTTCTACCTTCTCTTCCTTGACAGCGCCATGGCTTGCCCCAACGGCCACTGACTCAACCACTCCACCCCTCCTTCTCTCTCGCGGGTGTCAACTCGTTTCTACCTCGCTCATGCTACGTCCTAGCCTCCACGTCCACCTGCCCTAGTCAACCCCTCAACCCCTCGTGCTCTTGTGCTCTCGCAATCATGTTACCCAACAACGCATTCCACATGCAGCCGCACATGGCTCAGCAGCAGCAGCAACAGCAGCAGCAGCAG